AATCTTTGCTATTACTCAGAGTACCCAACAAGTATCATTCCAAATTGTTCATGTTCTACCATGTGCCCATTTCACATTCCTGGGTAAAGACAGGCAAAATGAATTGAATGAATGTCTTTGTCTAATAATACATTCAAAGTGACCATATAAAATAAAAACTCTTACCACTGACCAACACAAAGTAGTACCTTGTAATGTTGCATTAATAAATAGTACTATATGTGATTGGTAAAACAAAAGAAAATAAAGATAAACATCTTCAAAATGTAATGTATACTTACGTGCTTAATTCAGCAGAGATGGCGCCATTAGGCGACATGGATGTACCGTGACTGTAATTATTCCTTATTCGGGGCGCTTCAACAACAGTTGGGACGAGGAGGAACGACCCAGATTCTTGTTTAATAAGTATCTTTTGTTTCATGTGTGTCTCGCTAATAACTGTGATTGTATCTCCATGGGCACTTAGACCTTTAATGAGCAAAAATGATATCAATGTAGAAAATTAAATTTCATGGCACATTTTTGTAGGTACAATTTGCAATCCCACAATTCAAGGTCTACTTTTAGTGCTGGTATGAAGTATTGTGCAAGGCTATTATTTTATATAAAATAAAGAATAACATTCTCCAGTTATCTTGTGGCACTTTCCCTTGAATATAATGAAAATGGAATCTCATGTCTTGTCTATAGATGTCCTGTGTGTTTCACCCGAGTTTATAGCCAATATTGACGAGAGAAGTGGGAGGGCAATTATTCAGGTAAATTTACTCAACATCACTGCTGATTTGTTTAGTCTATTTTGTGAATGTTGTCTGGATAAATTGATATCGTGAGGTAGCGGGAAGGTGCCAGTTATCCAGATACATGATTGATATTGCTAGTCGGAAATATGGGCAGTAGTGTTTATGACTTCCCAGGCAAAGATCTGGAGTTGTGCACAGACCAAACAAATGCAACAGAAAGTAGTATAAAAGGCCTACAGTCTGGCAGAATTGTGGATGAGAATGTAAAATTATGAGTCACAGGCCAGTCACACCTTATAAACTATTTCTCTACAATAATCAAAGGCAAGACTTAAGCGGTAGCATTTCACTACAAAACATAGCACAGCTTTCTACCATACACAGACATGACATGAAGAATTGGTGTCTGCTTATAAAAATAGGCACTGCTTTACATCATGTGAATGTTGTATTGATCTCTACGATGAATTTACAGCTGAGTAGAATATATTGAACTTATATCTTACATATCTGTCTGTTTATATATCTAATGGCCGCATAAATAAAGTAAAATGCTTTAAGACTTCTATTAATTGTGAAAAACACCACATAAAGTGAACATTAAACTCAGAAAAAATGAATAAAATGTACATTGAATGACATGAATCTAATGTCTTGTTACATTTACAGAAAAAGCTGGTTGAGGACTGGCTCTATGTAATTGCCGGCTCCATATTGGTGACTCTGGAGGCGTTTTCTGGCTAATGGCTGCTATGTTTATTTGGTATGAAACTAAGACCTGAATCAGAGGGTGTAGACAAGGTTATAGTTGTGCTATTTATTATTTGTTGTAAGTGCATTTCATTACTTTTATTATTCCATTTCTCAAACTTACTACAAGATACAGCATTACCAGTATCAGAGTTTTTCTTTTTCCATTCTTTTAATATGTGATGCCTAGCAAAGCCCAGGCAAAGGAAAATTAAGGAAGAGAGAGTAGATTGACTTGATTGATATTGAGTTTAAAATGTTGAATATTGTAAGAAGTTTAAAAAAACAAGTGGTGAAGTTTATCAAACTTTTGGGAATAAATGAGATAAGAAATGACAGTAGGTGTAGAAACAAAGTATTTGTGAATGCATGAAGAAACTGGCCTGGAAGAGATGTGGAGGGGAGGGATTAAATACTATATAAATATTGAAGTAATAAAAGTTCCACAAAATTACCAGTAATTGGTGTTGAGTGCAGAGCATGAGTATGGCCTTGCCGTTTCACCTTAAGGGAGCTGTTTTCATCCATATACAAATCAAACACCAAGATGTGTTGGCCTTTACCAACGATTAATCTATGACAAGTCTGTCTCTGCAAAAACAAAGAAATTATATTTTGAAACTTATATTGTTGTTCTGTGTACTGTATTTGACATCAGTTGTAAACAAATTATGTAAGAGGATTCCACAAATTATCTATCAATGTAATTGGGTGGTAGGGGCAAAGCTTGTTTGCATCAGCGATATCACATTTTGTGATAAATATTATGTAAATTAATTTTTGATTACAATATTTGTTAGGCATTCAAAATTCTTATTCATTTTAGGGTTAAATCATAAATATTTACATTACCTGTAGGCCTTCTTGATTGCCATTAACGGTGGCCCAGTAAAAACAAGAAACAGGGATCAGGTCTTTCTCCCACAATTCCAACTCTGCCACTAATGTTACTTGAGAATCAGATACCTCTGTATGGTCAATTTTTAAATTCCAAATCTTAACCTGTCCTTCTGTGTTTCCAATGGCAAGTAAACTGTTCTCAAATGTTGTTGAGTATTGCTCCCATTTGATGGATGAAGGCCAATCTATTCCACTCTCTACAACACCACAGATTGATATATTGCCTCTGAAGGATCAAAATGTTCACAATAGTAACTAGTGGGACAATGGAAGGTGGATACGCGAGGAAAGTATGATAGCTGACAGGGTTGTGTCTGTAATCTGTAGATTCTGTAATACAGTTGAACTTGCCTAAGTCAAATCCAAAATACCATTGAAAAATTGTTTGACTTAGATAAAATATGACTTACGGATTGTTAATTAATAGAAAACACAACAATTTGGCATGTAAAATAAGTACAACTTAGAATTATTCGAGTTAGGCAAAGTCGACTACTGTATAGGCAAGTTTAACTGTACTAGGAATGGGTGATCTGATTATTTTATCTTGGATGACAATAACTGTCTATATAATCATGCATAAATAAATGAACAAAAATATAAATAATTTCACTATATTATTGTATATACAATTATAATTAAACTTCATACTAATATTAATTGATATCTGTTGTTCAAGTTATTTTGACTCATTCATTATTAAAGTAATATATTAGTCTAATAGGCAGACAAAAAGGAGTTTAAAAAGACCAGAATTCTCTATCAGGAATAGGCCGAAATATATGAAAATATGTATGAAAATGGCACTTTTCAAACTTTACAGTAAACAATTTGATATTTTACCATGTTACTTAGTTCAATGGTTGTCATATTTTACAAAGCCAAAAAGCAAGAAGTGAGTGGTTAGCCATGAACCCAGAATTAGGCCAATAGTTTAAAACATGTTTATGACAGACCCTGAATGCTTGGGAAACACATTATTTTCTACTTAAAGTAATAATATTCCTGTCTAATATTGAGCTTACTCTGATAGGAAGGGTAGTGAACACTTCCAGAAGATAATCAGACCATGTCTAGAATATGTAGCTAGCACTATGTAGGCTGCACCTTGTGTTCCATCTGGTTCCTTATAAATTCCCGACCAAGCCATATCTACAAAAGATGAAGCGCTCAAATTCTATGCATAATATAAATAGATGAAATTTCATTAAGTACTAAAAAGCAGTAAAATATCATGCATATAAATAAAAACTTAAGGTAGTTGTACTTTTCTAAAATTCCAATTTACTTCTTATGACAATAGATGACCTGCATAATCTAAATCTGAATCTAAAAAATGGTGAAATGTTATGAATAATTAAAACTACTTTCACAAGTCAAACATTATATTATTATGACAATAATGTAGAATACTGTAATTTACCAATGACATTTTTTTGATGGAAATAAAATAAATAACTGCATAAATATAACATATGAGAACAAAACTATGACTTACCTTCAACAGAGAACATAGCAAATCTATTAATAGCCATCTTTACAATATTACTGCTACTTTCGCCAGCATCTGGTGTAATCTTGTACCTTTTGCTTTTAACATACTTGTGTAAGAGGGAGGAAACATCTGCCACCTACGAAAACAATTGTTATTCTACAGTAATTTACGTTGGTTGTGGAATTTTATATTATGCTATTAGAATAACAATTAATATACTGTAAAGTAAATAAAGGTTTGTGGTTATCAAATAAAGATTTTTTTTTCTATATAACAATTTAATGCACTGCACACTCAACACATTTGAAGCACTTCAGAAAACAACTGCAAGTGATTCAAGTTGGGATCGAACCCATGATATAAAGAACCTGGTGTCAATGTTTGCTCTCAAGCAAAATCTTTGTTTTCTAGTGCTATGTATCCAACAAATATAAAGAGTGTCAACATTGGAACTTACCTTTAATAGTCATTATAATCTGACAACTGATTGATTGATTGATTGAATGACTGATTGATTTGTTGATTGATTGATTTATTAACTGGTTGACTGATTGGTGTATGCCAGTTGATTGGTTGGTAAATTATTGGTTAATTTATTAATTTGATCAGTCAATTAATTGATTGATTGACTGACTGGTTGGGTGATTGATTGACTGACACATTGATTGATTGACATACTTACTGATTGACTGATGTACCAACTGACTGATTGATTAAAATACTGGTTGAATAATTGATCACTTGATTGTTGATTAATAAATCATTCATGAATTGTTTACCTGATTAAATCACTAGTTGGTTGATTAAATGATTGGTTGATGAACATATTATTTGGTTGATTTATTGGTTTGATTGGTACATTAATTACTTGATTGAAAGAAAATACAGTATTAGTTTTAATGACAACTGCATATGCTGTACGTTACCTGGACCCAATTACTGATTCTTTTTTCTGCATACAAGGTCAACCTATGGTCAGTCCTCAGAAATGCCAAAATACAACTGAAAATACATGAGAAAAAGTAGACAGCATTCAAACAAACACAGACACAATTAAAAAATATAACTTGTTGAAACCCCAAGCTTTTGCTGTTGATTATCCAGTGAGGGGAAGCCACTATGGTCAGATGTTTACAATTACGTTGAGGACCCAAAAGAGTCCCTCAGTTGGGACTTGACATCAAGGAATATGTTTGAATGTGATAATATAAATAGTCTGACTAAGCAAAAAGATGTAAATCTTCTAGTTTATAACTGCCAACTTTGCTGGCATCCAATGTGCGAGACAAAAGTCATCACACAGTCATCGGTTGATAAAGCTTCATTAGAATAAATTCTATGGCTTGTATTCATATTTTAATGACAAATTCACATTATTTTTATGAATTTTAGAGTATAATCGGTCCATACATTTTATCTATATAAAATGTTTGTTTTTAGACATGAGGCGTAAACGATGCTCATGCGTGAGACTCACGCATTATGCGTGAGAATTGGCAGGTGTAGGCAACAGTATTGGTTATGAGCAGCACAGAGTTCATTTGGCTAGACTGGTGGTAACCACGGGTTGTGTTTTGAACCGTGGAATCAACTGGTTCCTGGTTAAATTTCATCACTCCTCATCTTGTGTTTAATGCGATTTAATAAACATACAGTGAACTTTACTTTACTTTAAACAGATACTGAAACTGAAGAAGATTCATTCATACAGTACTGTACCCTACATATCAATTGTAGCCTATATATTTTAATGTTTGAGCTTAATCAGAATAGCATGTAATAAGCATGTAATACTTACAATAAACCATGGCAATGTAAAAATTAAACATACCCCCCTGTAGCAGAACAGCCCTTGGGTGACCAGCAAAGCGACCTGGGAAGTGAATGTACAAGCACTTGTGATAATGATCCTGTAGGACTTCCAATTGTGCCATCTATATGGAAAGTAGCTCCTGCATCTATTTCAGAATGGAATGTGAAACAACTATTAATGTCGGTGTTATACAGTAGCTTAAATAAACTTCAACAATAAATAGAGTATTACATGCTTAATTTGCATAAAGTTATTATCTTTAACTTAGATGTTTGAAGGAAAACTCTTCACCAATTAACACTGTAGGAACCATGGAAATCATCCTTTAAAATAAAGGCTGGCAAGGGTACAAAATGTAAGCATCGTCTTAGTAGCATTTACCTCAGAATAGAGGTTGGTAGTTTTGTTGAATTACATATTTATATCTTTTCTATACTAATTTCACTCCCCTTATACTGACAAAATATTGTCGCCTTCCTATTAGAAATAAGATTATTCCCATAGAGGTGTCCCTTATTATATGGGTATACTACAGGAAGGTCTTATTGTATCCTTTCAGTTATTTTCATGTAATTGACTTACCACATTTGCTAAAGAACTGACTTTTGATCTCAGAAGTAAGTCTGTGGTCTGGCACCCCAACATCAGGGTAATAGTGCTTATCGTCATATTCTAACACACTTTTATTCAAAACAAATGTTCCACTGGTGTATGCAGTCTTGCAGGTCAACCTCTAAAAAACATAATAGGTAATTATATTATATTATACTTTACTAGACCTGCAGTATAGATGTACTTCACAAGATTGGTGAATATTTACCTCACTGAATTTCTGAAAACAGGAAAAATTGAATCAGAATTTCCTTCACACTAGAATGGATAAGGATGCTTGTTTAGCACCTTACTACCCAACAACTCCAGGTAGTGAGGTAGTGGGGGTTCACATTGGGCTGGTGGTGGCACTAAATGAACCATACTGTAAAGTGTTATAATTGTGTGGACAATGCTTCAAAAACCAGCTTAAATTTGAACAGAAAATTGCTACAAAAACAGGCACGCAGAATCATAATTTTAAAGTAAAAGTCTAATTTTCGACAAAATCTGGATTTGGACGGAAATTGGTCCTTACTTTCCGAAATGCACAGACAGATATTTTAGGCATGATTTTTGCATGGAGGATTTATATTCACTGCGCAGGCCTTTACTATACAGTCTGGATGAACTGTATGATATATTAAACCATAGTATCATTTACAACACAAAGTAAAGTAAATTAAGAAAGAGAAATTAAAAAGAAACAATAAATTTCTACCTTCCTTTGAAGCTGAAGTTACAGTAGGTACAGTATGCGGTAGAGAGAGTTTGAGTGTCTGAGGTCCCAAAGAGTACTTGAAACAGTAGTTATTTGTTAATTGTCTTCAATTTTGTGATAGCCTTTTCGGGATTTGGATGAAAAACACATTTTGCAGAAACACATGCATGATCTTAAATTTGTCTCGCATTTAGCGCAAGTCTATGTGAGATAAAGAATTATCACAAATTAAGGGGAAAATGTATTTAAAATTAGAAGATATTGCTTTTATTAAAAATATAAAATCAGAACTTGAGTCATTAGAGGGTTTTCATTAATTCATTTGAGAATCAAATCAAATCAAATCTTTTTTATTCTGTAAGTACCCTTTCAATACATAAGTACTGGTCTCCCAAGAGGTCCAGACACAACACAAAATAAATAACAAATAAATATATAAGAGTCAAGAAAGGAGGTAACTAAATACAATTCTTAAATATTCTTAAAGTAAGGGTGTCAAATTTGCAGTGGATATCTAATGGGAGCTCATTCCATAATTTACATGCCTTGTAAAGGTAAGTTCTTTTTCCTTGCATATTGTTCCAGATTGGGATGATTAGAGTATTTGAAGATTGATTTCGTGTATTTTTGGAATGGACAGCATTAGTAAATTTAAATTTAGAAGAAATGTATTCAGGAGTTATACATTTTAGGGATTTAAATGTCATATTAAAATATGTTTATCCCATTTATCTTTAATCATTTTCCAATCCATTGTATCCATCAAAACCTTTACTGGAGTCATAATGTCGGCATGTAACACCACTCTAGCAAGCATATTCTGAAGAACTTGTATAGAGTTAGATTTAACACCATTGCAGTTTGACCAAATAATGCTACAATAATCAAACAGTGGCATAACAAGAGTATTGGCAAGCAGCTTAATAGTTTTAAGAGGAAGAAAGTATCTAATTCTTCGAATTACACCAATACGTTGAGAGGCACGTGAGCACACCTGTTCAATCTGTTTGTCCCAAGAATCAATCCCAAACAAAACAACCCTGCCAACCACACACTTAGTATCATCTTGGATTATGTAACTGAAACCGGACCAACCCCCCACCCCCACCCCCAGCCCGGCTGGGATAGTCACGCATTTCAAATCTCTCAGGTTGGTAACTATGGGATGACTTTGCAGAGGGTGAGGTGATCAAACATGGCTAAAGATGTTAGATAATTTTAATAATAGTGTACATTTATAATCTGCCAGTATCCATCAAAGATGCCCATGGTGCAAAACAGAAAATGAGAAGAGTTATTAACAGTCGGTAATCTTAACTACGAAATAAAAAAAATAAATAATAATAACTGTAATCTTGGTTATAGCTAATAAGTTGAATTTCCGGTCTCACGTCTCACACGTACAGTAACTTCTATGGCGAATAAGAAATTGGGAATTATTCATCGTTCATTTAAACATTTGAATTCAGATAGCTTTTTGTTACTGTATAAGTCAATAATTCATCCATCTTCAGCTTCAAGATCAAGGTAAATCAAAGACAAAGCTAGACCTAGCTAATGGTAATGTTTTTTTACTCTGGTGGAATATCAGTATTATAAATGACAAAATAACAATTTACTTTAATAATTCTGATAATAAATAAATAGCTATTAGTATTTAGGTCTAGCCTAGGTAGGCCTCTGGCTCTAGTAATATTTTTTGAACTTTTTGTTATTATGAAGTACTGCTGTGAACAATACTTGAGAAATCAGCATTCAAAGTATATGATTTCGGACATTTCTCAGGCAGAAACCATCAACAAATCGTTAAAATGGTTAACGGTAAATTTGAAAAATAACAACATAGCATGATGTATGTATAAGGATAGTTTAGTGCAATAAAATAGATTTCCAAAATTTTAACATTTAAGCATGTTTTGGCGATTAAGAGACATGATTTGCGACGACTGACTGGTTTGGCTTGTCTTTGCCACATATATTAAGCAAAAATAATTACGTTCAAATTTTAATTGAGGCATATTCATTACACTTTGAGTTGTTTGGGTTGGGCCTAGACCTTGGCCAACCTAGGCCTAGGCTATCATATCAAGGCCGAGTTGTTGGCCAAGGCCGGGCTGGGTCTATAGGCCTAGACTAAACTAATAATAAGTAAGAGGAGGCCGACGAAGGGAGAGTAGAAGAGTTGGTGAAGGGCCTAGGCCTAGTAGAAGTTTTTATACACACATAATATTTGAAGGATGAATAAACACTTGTTGTTATTACGTACAAAGAAGTTTAGAATCTTCTCAGATCCTACAGCTACAGATAAATCATCAGATACAGCTATAGACTTGTACCCATACAGCGCATTTAAGGATGCCGACATTTTGAATGGCTGAAGGATACTCGATTTGTACTTAGGGTAGGAAATAGTTAAGATTATTATACAATAGCCGTTACATAGTAATATATTTGATAAACGACCATATATATAATATAATACTTGTATTTAATTGATATACATATAGCTTAATAGTTAGTCTAGAATCCGATACATATGATTATTTGTAATTACATTATATTTCCACCCTCTACAAAAATAAAATAATCTAGAAGGTTCAACAAGTTTTTAACAGATATTTATACGGCAGCTCTGCCTTTATTTGCATCACATAATATTTAAACGGTTAAATATAATTTTGGGTGAATAGATAACGTAAAACGTAAACAGAGCGTACTTGTTGACATGTGTTCATGTGGACGTAGATCTAGTAATGATGGCAGAATTTCGGTTCGATTTTGCCGTCAAAGATAAGAATTTAGAACCCGAAAATACTTCTGAAAATGCAAACGATAAATTGGAGCATATATTTGGTATATACAGTGTATTCAGTATTTATATGTATCCATAAACTCCTTAACGTAGCTTTAGCCTGTAGATAGTCTGATAGCTAGCTAAGCTAGTCCTAGGCCAGCGCGGCCTAGGACCTCTAAAGAATTGACTCTTCAGGTTGGGTAGGCGAATATATTCTGACCACGTTATAAGGCTGTATAATTTGTAATAAAATGAAAAAATATTTTGTTTGCATGTTATTTAAATTAGTTTGTAATGTACTGTATATATATTTTTTTTTCAGGTACAAATCTAGTAGTAGAGAAAGTTGCATCAAGTCAGAAAGAAGATTCAGTTGTAAAAGCACAGGAACTCATTGTAGACCTTCCTGCTGTTGAAGATAAAGTATGATTTGAATCTTCAATACAAATATCTTTCAATTTCTGCATTTCTTACTGTATATTGTTTGTACCTGTACTTTAATTGTATAGAAATAAAAATATTTGATTTGAGTAAAATGTAATTTTATTTATTTTGATAGTATCTGTGTGTGTACAGTATTTAGCACAATTTTTATTTGTAATTTGGACAAAGTTTTTAAATTAAGATTGAAGCACCTTCATCATGGGCTTTCCCAGTACAGTACAGTACAATTAAAACCAGAGCGGCAATAAGTCAAAACGGCAAGACCAAAATAGCAATAGGCCTAAGTCAAAACAGCAATAAACCAAAATCACAATATAGAAGCAGTAAACATTTAAATAATTAAAACCTTAAAATACAGATAAAATTAGTCTAAACAATATTATGCCATGAAAGTTAAAAACGGGCAGGGAAAGAAAAAATAATAATAATAATAAATAACACTTTTAAAAATAATATAGGCCTAGTCATGGATGTGTTAAAAAAAATAATATAGGCCTAGTCATGGATGTGTTTAAAAAAAAAAAAAAAAAAAAAAAAAACTTGATTCAGAAAATTATAAACTGCTGCCAGCGCCCGGTGGCGCTTCATACTTAGCATTGATTTTTGCTCCTTTGCCGTTTTGGCAGTTGTCATTGCCGTTTTGGTCTGTTGCCGTTTTGGTGCTTATCATTGCCGTTTTGGTTATTGCCGTTTTGGTCATTGCCTTTTTGGTTTTTGGCCGTTTTGACCTGCTCCCCAATTAAATATTAACAAAAAAGAATTTTTTATTGTAACATAATGAACCAATTGGGACAAACTGCCACAAAAATTGCAAAATGTTCATGACTTCCGCAAAATATAACTAATTATTACTTTTTCAGATAAACCCAGACGATATTGATGTCATATCAGTTGGTAATGTTAAAATAAATTATATCAATTCTACTGGAATTGAAGCAGAAGTTAAGATCGAGCATTTAGAGCACCATGATGAAGACAACAAAACAGATCATTTTGTAACTGCTGTTTCAAACCATTATGATTTAATTAGTGGTGTATATGAAGGTAAGATTTGTTGACTCATGTGTGCGGGGGTTATATGAAGGTAAGATTTGTTGACTCATGTGTGCGGGGGTGCGTGCCACGTCGTAGAGAAAATTTTAAAATGTTCAAAAATTTGCCACTCATCAATGTTCGTGCTATATGCGTGAACCATGCATGAACACTGCACGAACTCGGCACAAACACTGCCAACAGTGCGTGTCAATGAAGAATGCTCTTGCTGCCTTTTCTCCTGCTCTTGCAGAAGTAATAGTCCTGCAGTAGTTACCAGATATAAACACTTACTCTGCTCTGCAATAACAGTGTTTCTGGAATTCAGCATGTTGTATCATCCACAGCGAGTCGAAGAAAACCTACGCTATATACATAGCATGCTGCCAAGCGGGACAAAGCGTGACCAAAGTTGCCACAACAACTTCACCCATACGTGAAATCGTCATGCCAATGCGTGTTCATGCGGGAAGAAAGTAGGAACTATGCGTGACAACGCAGTACGTTAAGCCGGTTACTCACTGCGTGCAACGGCGACGCGATGAAGAACGCATGCGAAGACGCGGACCCAACGGATCGTCTTTTCAATGAAGATCCGTTCAGATTGCCACTGACAATCATCAGGCGGCATTGCATCGTTTATCGCTTGCTGGAAGCAGATGTGGATTTGTCGTGTAACGGTCGTATGACCGTTCTAGGACGCAGTGAGTGTCCGGCTTAGATGTGAACAATGTGCAATGTGTCCCCCCCCCCCCTGAAATGGCACGCCTTGGCACAACGCTTTGCGCACAATGCAGGGACAAAAATCGTGGAAGTGTCAGGGTGACAGTTCAACCAATTGTTTATATTTTTGTGAGTAGTTTTGCTAATATGTTGATAATTGTTATTTTTAATATGTTTGTATCATCAATTCCATTCTGTATTTATATTATAAAACTTCAAATATATACAAATAGAAAGAATGGCAAACATTAAACTTATTACCCAGCCAACTAATCTGAAAAAAACATAAAACTTAAGAGGATATATTACTTTAAAAGAAATATTGTATAAAAGAAGAGAAATGAAACAAGTTTCTTTTAGTATTTTGTTTAGTACAAACAATAACAATAACAGATGCAGTGATATTTGATGTTGAAGGTGGACTTAAGGTCTGGGAATGCTGCTTAGATCTAGCCAATTACCTAGCCCATGAGAGCACATTATGGAGTAAACTTGATGTACTGGAGTTGGGTTGTGGTGCTGGAATCCCAGGTGTATACCTCATGGTGAAAGGTGCTGTGGTACATTTCCAAGATTATGTAAGTTACAAAGCTTTGATTCTAAAACTTGTTTTTATTGTCTTTTATGGCAATTTCTTTGTTTTTGTTAGCTTTCTTAATGTTTTTGATTTCTGTACATTACTGTCAATGTAAACATCTGAAATAAAGGTTTACACATAATTTGAAATATGACCACCATATACCTTTAGGTTACATAAATATATAGTTATTTTGTTTTAAGTACAGTATAAATGTTCCCCTCATTACTTAAATGCAGAGGTAGCGTATTTATAAAATTATTATACAATGCTAGGTTATACATACTTTACAACATTTATAAATAATTATGAGGTTTTCGGTACATGACATGGTATGTGCTACATAGGGGAAGAATGATGAAGAGCTGTAAGGATGGCCATATAAAGCTGATGAAGGCTCCAAATTCAATATAGAAATATTTCATGAAGATCAGGGTGTGATCACAATGTGAATGAATTATATTCATTGTACATCATTTTAAAATTACAGTTCTACTATAAATATGTGTTTCAAAATATTTTTTTTTTAAATAGAATACTGAAGTACTTGAACGATTGACAGTACCAAATGTTATTATGAACCAACAAGTAAAGAAAAAAGATGACGAAAAGAAACTGGGCCATACCTGTCGCTACTTTGCAGGCGATTGGTCAGACATGACTAGTGTTCTAATGACCAATGGTATTCAAAACAAGTATGACATCACTTTATTTGCTATCATATCTAGTATTTTATATAATGTACATGAACATATACAGTATTATTTGATTTAAGTCAATTTTAGTTAATACCAGTTGTTTGACACCATCAAAATCTTCAAACAATGAGTGAAATATACAGGATCAATTAGGTCAGAGATAAGAACAACAAGGTCTGTCACAGATGACACTGATAACCAAATACTTATGAGTTGCACATTCTTTTACAGGTATGATGTAATTTTGACGTCAGAAACAATTTATAATGTGAACTACTATGACAGGCTGCATACACTACTACAAGCTTCACTGAAACCCTCTGGATGTGTGTATCCTTTTAATCATAGTTCTTAATAATTCATCTTGGATACAATATTTTCCAAACAAGCATAGTATTTTTGATAACTAGATAAAGAACAAATAAAAAATAGAATAGCAAATTTAAGTGAATAATTTACATTAATTTAAATAATTGTTACCATATTTAGTCTCGTATATTATGCTCAATTCTACAGGTATGCAATATAATTAATCTCTTTGGACCCCAATGGAATAGACCTGATGGCCAATGTATGTTAATTTTTGATAGGGATGATAATAACCCATACAAATTCACATTTTTGGTATTTCAGGTGTGGATAAAGTACACTAAGAAGCAGTGGTGTATCTAGGGGGTGCGCACACCCGTTCCCCCTCCCCAGAAAAATCAGTCAAATAGTTAAAAATCACCAAAAATTACCTTTTTTTTTGCTAATTAGCCCCCTTGGATTTGCAAAAAATGAAAAAAGCCCTCCAGAGTTCTAAAAGTAATTGTTTAGTGGAGTGGATATATAAAATACTTTTTTTTCAATTTTGTTTACAACATTTGTAGCTTTTGACAATACTTACATACTTATTTTGTTAGTATTTAATGTATACATGTTTATTGGTTTTATTTTGTTTTGCCTTATAACTATCTATGCCTACAGCTAATAACAGTATTGGACTTTCAACTTTCACAATATTATTAGTTCTCCTTGACTTGCAGTAGATATGTTGCAGCTAAAACCCACTATTTTGGAGTTGGTGGTGGGACAAGGATTTTTGAGGATTTTGTCAACAAAAATGGAATATTTAATATAAAATCCTGTTGGCAGAATAAAGATGGTAATAGTATTTTAAATATTTTATTATTATTATTATTTATTTTATTTGTAATGATTTTAATGACTGGATAGAAAAAAGTCTTGTATTTTAACAACTAATTTCCCTTTTTTTAAACAGGTTTACAAAGAGAAATATTAAAACTGGAGTTCAATCGCTCAATAGAATCTTGAATTACAGCACACTGTTGGTAGACAAAGCATCTTGGATATAGAGAAAGCTCTGTGATGGAATGTTACTGGAATAACACGTCATTCTAATGGAATGATCAGTGGTGGAGCCAGCGTCTGAAATCTGGGGGAAGGTAACATTTAGCGGGAGGGTAACATTTAGGGGGAGCAATATGTTTTCCAGTAGCAGACCTCCCCCCCCCGTAGCGCCGCTGCTGGAATAAATGCAGTATTTTATGACAATGCACATGGAAAAATGATGAATACAACATATCTTGTTTCGCACTGATCCTTTATTTAAATACTGTATTATAACTATATGAAACATAAATAATTGTTACTATACTGTATTGTCATTTGCTTGATTTTTATTTTATAATTACAATTGTATCTGCTTACTCTTAATAATACATTTTTAAAGTGTAGTCAGTTTCAGTGGCGGCACTACAGGTTCCTGAAAAGGGTCCGGGGGTGCACGCCCACCTCAGTGTCACCATGGTTAGGGCTAAGGTGAACAATTTGTATCTCTAGATACCTAAAAATGGCACTCTCAAGACTGTAAAAATGCTTTTAACCAATGAAATGACTGGCTTCCTATGCCCTTTGGCCTCCCAGTGGTGCTGCTCCTGAGTTACTGGTCAGTTTTAATTACAGTTGTCTACTTTTCATATGGGTAGGTATACTACAGTATTTCATTTGTATAGATATAAGCTACGCCATCAAATAAATTGATGAAATATCACAATAAATTTTTACTCTATTATTACTATTATTGTATTGTCTACGTATTTTAACAACTATACAGTAAATCACTGTATGGACCAGCATTCTACTGACAATTATAATACATACATAATTCAACAGGCTAATTAATTACAGACTATTCATGTTTGATACTGAAAAGCAGCATTGCCTGGTGCAGAAATACATAGGGAAAAGAGGTATAAAATTTAAAATATCACAGATTTTATGATTACCATGTCTCTTCTGGGTCCTTATTTGAATGGTAGTGTTACACAGTACTCTAAGTTCATGAGTTAAACACCCAGTGCTGTTGCCGGGAGGGGGTGTTTTAAGCCAATCTCCCATTGACAATTAATTGACAGACCATAAAAAATGATTTATGTTAAGCATAATATGTGCTAAAACATCTGGAACTGAAAAGACGGCCCAAATTTACCTGGTTTTCCTAGGCACCAGCAGGGTGCAGGCTCTTCCCGACGGGGGCCCTGGTCCCTCCACTGGTGCCTCCCCTGCCCACAAGGACTTCATCCCTTAGAAACCACTAGTTTGAAATTGTCAGACCCCCAGTACCATTGGGGAAATCCTCCCACCGCCACTGTATCACACTCATATAGGTGTTCAATATGCGTTCAAAGTACCAAACAAACCACTAGCACAATTACTATTCAATGAGGACAGAGCCACCTTGAACCATACATGATAATCATAATGATAACAGTAAGTACAGTATTAACAACAACAATAATAAATAAATAAGATTAACTTTATTAATAGAGTTATAATCTTTTCAATTTATATATCATTTTACACGCCCAAGTCTCAGAGCTCTTGCGAGGTTTATTACCCCTGGTCATTGAATCCATATTCCGGCACAGTGTACAACCTTCCCAGCTTCCTTGGAAGTCTACCTAGTTAATGCTGCCAGGATGGTGCAGAGACAAATACTGTACATCCAATGGTACTAATTCCTATTCCTGGGTAAAGAGAGACAAACACAGGAAAAGTGCCTTGCACAAGGTCAAAGAGCAAATGCTGAGAGATTCAAATGTTCATTGTTGAAAGTGGGAAATGCAACTGATGTGCTGATCCCACACAGGCAATATGTATACCTTAAAATATATAATTGCTTCAAGTATATAAGATTTTTGAATCGTTATTCTTATTGGGTAATATCCCCCAACATTGCATAAGTTAGTCACCAAAAAGTGATGAGGCAATTACTGTATTCCAGACTAAAATGCAGAGAATCACACACTTAAGGCTGGCAAGAAAACAAAAAGGGAAAAACGGTGTTTGGAATTTTTAAAAACCAGTGGCTTCAGTGCCAGATCTCAAAGTACACCGAAAATTACATTCTTTTGTCTTTTTGACTTGCAGTGAGCCACAATATTCAAGGATTGTTCCCCCTCTCCTCTTAGATCCACTGCTGGCAAGATATTTCCAGAACATTACGGAGCTTGGCGTTCATAAACCCAGTTGTTTTCACCTTTGTGTAAAAGCACATTATCAACAGTTTCATTTTCTTTAAGTCTTCTAAAGATGAACCTGTCATGTAGTCGATTGCTTTGGCCTTGCCAAAACTCAATTTGCTCTGGAATCACTATATATCCTCCCCTGAAAAAAAAATCAGGCAGATAAGACACATTGTAGTTGATTCTACACCAGTGGTGGTGCCTGCATCTGAAATCTGGGGGAATGGAAGTGAAGGACAAGGTAAAATTTAAGGGGGGTGGAGGCAAAATGTCTCGAAAGTGGTCCCGGGACGAATTTAGGGGTTTCAGAAGCTTATTTAATCAATTTTATAGATAGATACGCTACTAATATGTAGAAAATGCATATTTTTTTTCTTCCCAATGAATTGTGGTTTTTCTTACTACCAGTGACCAGAAGAGCATCTAGCTGGTCATTCAACCATGACTATAGGCGCTGATGAAACCTTTAGTAAAGTTCATTTCCAATGATATTGTTTCAACAAAAATAAAAATTGTAACCAAACAAATTATCAGTAGAGAAAAAGAGACACAAAGTAAAGCACTTTGTAACACCTACACATCCCAAGTTATTAACATCTACACCATGCAAATAAGAATGTGTATATTATTGTAATGCTTACATGTCTACTGGGTATCGGCTGACTTTGATTGCTAACTATTGAGCCTATTTGACTTGATCTTGGTCGCGAGTTAAAATACTGTGTTGACTCCTCTTCAGAGAGTCGTTTTACTTGACCATCGATGCGAACCTACAATCAAACAAAAATTAACATGTTTTGCTTAAACTACCTACAATATTGGATAGAGGGGTTGGTGCAGCATGTGGTTTTGGTCTCAAAATTAAAATCGAAAGCCGAATACACACTGCGCTGTATGACCGTCAGCCAACGAATCCACCTCCACCCTTCGTGAGCACATGGCAATGCGATGATGCCTGCTGTTTGTCAATAATAAACAGAGCAGATTGTCATGAAAAACAATCAATTGTGCGTGCACCGACAGGGGGGTCAGCGAAGCCTTGGTCAACAGCCTGGAGTAAAAACTCCCTTTTAGGGTTCACTGGCAGAGTTTGGTTCAAATATTAGGGATTGGCAGTCAAAATAATGTTATTTGGATAGGCTAATTATTATTTTTTAAAATATTTTTCGACCTAGTCGTTCACCGGACGACAGGGGGTCCAGGCCTGTCCAACGGAGGGTCAAATGCTCCCTGCTGGCGCCACCACTGCTTGTCGCATTACGGTTCTTCATGGAATCGTCTCCAATGAAGACATGTAATATGCAGTATAAATTTTATGTTTTTATCATAATGAGCTGGAGGTCATCTAAATTTATCATTAACACAACCTACTATACCTGTTTGTTTAGAGGTTCCCAATAAAAAACTAGACAGGCAAATGGATTCTCAGTCTGAAAATACAAATGGTTACATTGTATTATTTACAGTTACACAATTCCAGATAAAAGATAACTCTATTATATCTATCAGCCTATTTTGCTTTGTACTGTTTTCCAGTATTTTTTTCCCATTCCTTTTGTCCTTTTACAAAGATGTAATTAACATTAAAACATCAGGTACTCAATAATAGGTTTTTCAAAATACCATCTTGTCACCCTCTCAAAAAACAGTAAGAAAATAAGGCTGGTTTGCTTTAAACACGTTATATTTTCATTGCGTATTATTTGAGCTCAGTATGGACTCCAAAAGTATGCATTTTCTTTTAGTTATAAGGCGTATGCGGATTTTATAAGTCCGCAATGACGATATGTTTTTATTTAATTTTAATTTTTTTTTAAACCATATTTTTAAAGGGTGACCCTTACAGCAGAATACAACATAATATTTACAAAACAGATAGCATGTCATTAAAGCCTACCAAATTCTTACAAATCAACTTTCCCAAGCTTACAAGTTCCTGTCCTTTCCGGCTTTTGAAGTTAGTGAAAAATTTGAAGCCCTCTCTGCTGTAGCCTTTCAGTAGCACCATCCTGGCTGAAGGTCTGCCCTCTCTAGTTTACACAAAACAAAGATCAGTACATAAACATGCAAATATGCAGTATTATACAGTAAATTGTTCCAATAAAATCTAAAATTAAATTAAGCAACTAAACATTTTAATAGCATCTCAAATACTGTATTCACTTAAATGTTATTTAATGTTGACTTGTGCTATTTAATGGCTTGTTAACGTCAATTGAAATGTACAGGGAGGGATTAAAACCCCAACCCTGAGGTTGAGAAACCAAGAAATTCCTACTGCATTAAATTTAACGTGCTTCTAGTGTGGAGGGAGTCTAGGACAAACATTGCATTTCTGGCAGTAAAAAGGGGAATGTTCCACATCTTACTTGGATGCTGTAGCAATTGTCATAGCATTAGCTTCTCCAATCTTGTCATTCTTGCAGGCTTCTTTAAACCAGGTGTCAAACTGTTGAATAGGGTCCTTACTGGTCAAATGACTCTCAAGAAATGCCTCATGTTCACTCTTGTAGGCCTTTCTCATACTGGCTACATCCAGATTCTCCATGTCGCTGATTATACCAGACATACTGCGTAGTTTATATGATTTTGTAATTAAACGATTTGAGAGGATGAAATGTGTCAGTTGAAAGCCAATTTGTCTTGATAGAAACATTCAACCTAGAAAAGGAAGCAGGACTATGTTCTAACACTTTTCATTGTCAAGTAATTATTCAGTTTCCAGATTTAAACTGTGTCAGACACAGGGAAGCGACTGGTGGACTGTACGTTTTAGAATTGAAATTATTTTTGGTTTGACAAGATCATGGTCAAAAGGAATCTTCATCTGTCTGATGCCCCTGCCCCAAAGTATGGTTGAAGCAACCATGAGTCAAAGCGGCTGCACTCAAAATGCATGGCAGTGCACCGATTGATTGGGATATGGTACACTGTAGGCCTATCGTTCATATCCATTCATCGTACTGCCATATCCATTCATCATACACCTGGCCACTGCCTAAACAAGTACTGTAGATTATAATGAATATGATAAAATTAGTACAAAATAAGACAATACACATTTCTTTACTGTTTTAATTATTGTGATGATTTTACCCTTGTTTTGAGAGAAATCAATTGATAAATTCCAATATGTTGTGTGTATAAGAAATGTTTCTAATAACATGATTATGGTTATGTTTCTATTTTATTTTATAAAATGGTTCGGATATATATATAGAACTTATGATAAAGATAAGATATAAAACAGGTGAAAGAAACTGAAAATTAAGTTATTTAATTACAATAAACCAAAGAAATATAACGTATAGACTAGAGTTCAATACACAAAGGCAGTGGCGGTGCCAGTGGTGGTGGGGGGGGGGGGCTCCCATCGGTCTGGTCAAGCCCCACCATCGGCCAAAGCTCGTCGGGCAGTCGCACCAAAAAAAAAAAAAAAAAAATAGGCCTAGACTTTTTCCATCCCAGCAATTTCCGTCCATCTAGAAGTCCCAATTTAAAACAAAAAATGTGGTTTTGCGAGGAGGGGACACCCTCCCACTCCTACTCCTGGCTACGGCCTCAGATAACACTGCGCGCTATAGTTACACCCACCCATAAATACTTGATCCCCCCCTCCCCCACCCACCGCAGTCGGACATCTGTCCTTAGCACCCACCTCCCCATAAATGATATCCTACTGGAGCCGCCACTGGTCCTAGGATAAGTAGCAACTAGGCTAGGGTGGAGTGAAGTTAGGCTTAAGGAGCCCAGAGGAGTTTAGGAATTTGCTTAGAGGCTAGGCCTACTACTCTACTACTTACTGTACTCTAGTGCTACTTAATTAGGATTGCGGGTAGGCCTAGGCCAGCCAGGTACCAAATTAACGGGATACCCATCAATCATCACACTGCACTCCGTTTAGAGCCTAGGCCTAGAGGAGGCCTAAGTTTGCGATAATCAAAACACACACACAAATTTAACAATATTTACCTCTCTGAACATATGATGGGGACAGGCAAACAATTTTCGTCTTTTCCAGAACTAATAAGCTACGCCTCTCTACGGTTAGATGATTCCATGATTCCTTTCGTCCACGGCCGGAACCACCGGTAATGGCAAAATGTTACGTAACTACCTGATAGAGGGCAGTGTTCAGCCGGCTGTTGCAGCAGAGCCATAATAGATAAAAAGAGTTGCGACATTGAGAATGGTCTAACGTGATGTGCGTTCCTGTGTATAATACCGTACTCGCGCGAATAAGCGCCCGGGCACTTAAAATATATTTTTTGCACTTTTTGAGTCGCGCTTATTTAAACGGGGCGCTTATTTAAACAGGGCGCTTATGAAATCAGAGTGGAAATTGAGGGGCGCTTATGGAAATAGATGAAAATCGAGGGGTTCTTATGGGAAATTATTAAATTCAAGAGGCACTTTTTGAATGAAGAAAGATTATATAAGGACATTACGAATTGGTGGTTAGAAAAGATAATCGTACAGAGAACATGGCTCATGACAAGAATGCGTGAATATTTACATAACAACAAAATAGCAGATGCAATTAGTGGTGGTGGGTAGTGGTTGCTTGTTGGCCATCAGCCGATTGAGATTAGCAGGATGGCAGGATCTTTGTATTTCTTTTTTGAAAACTCAGATGAGAATGTGCTAAAGGTCGGAAAAAGAAAAAGAGGAGTAGGACTAGGCATAGATAGACTAGGCAAATATGTAAAAAGAGTGAAGTTGGAAATACACTGTCTGTCCAGGAATCGGAACTCTCATCTATCCAAGAGACCGAAGAAGAATGTGTTTCCACTCTACAGCTCAAATCATGCCAACAACCACAGTCCCAGGGTTGATTGATTTGCTAAAAAGAAAATCTTATAAGGGGGCGCTTATTCAAACTGGGCGCTTAAGGAAATTTTCACGTTAGGAGGAGTGGTTATTCGAGAGGGGCGCTTATTCAAACGGGGCGCTTATTCGCTCGAGTATGGTATTGTATAATACAGGTAGCGGCCTCCTGTATAGTTTAATTCCATTTAATCTTTTTAGCAGTCGAATTTCATGTAACTATTTATAGACTTTTTTTAATGATTTCACTACTTTATATCCAATTTCATAATAAATACTGTAATAATTTACTATTTTTGAGCAGTTCTTTAATCCTCGCCGATAGACCGAGAGAGCCCTTCGATGGCAAGCATTCTTCCGCAAATTAGGCAATCCTGCCATATAGACCCTTAAGTAGCTCCTGTTATTTTTGCAAATAAATGATATGTGACGACCAGAAAAAAAATAATTAAATACAGTATATCAAAATGTAATTAAAATCCGTATATAGGGTATATACCAGGCTCCTTAGGAGGATTTTTTTTTTTTTTTTTTTATATAATGTTGTAGAACTAATTTTTCTAAGGCACAAAAAAAGCATATTCGACGAAAAATCGAAAGCGGTTAGTGAGATACAATTTTCTTAATATTTAAAAGCTGTAAGGAAAAGGTCCTTACCTCCCTCTTTCCCCATTTTTAAATAATCAAAAATCTGTATCTTGACCGCCGCGGTGTTTTAATTTTTACGCCCACCGCTGCCTTGAAATCTCCAAAAATAATTGCATATTTCTTCTTTAGGCCTATATATTATATGAATCTCCGATATGTTTTATGTACAACGTGATTTTCAAATTTAACCATCTCATTACTACACTGTTTACCAATAAAACAAGATATAAAAGATACATGGTGTTATATTAAGTTTTATTGTACAATGTGTGAAAATTTTACTACAATCAGTGCATAAGGACCAACAACAATTATTAAAATAAAAACTGTTACTTTTAATTATGTTAACACTGTGGAACTAACTACCAAAATGCATCATAACCTATTTACATATGAAAACATGAATGAAGAAAGCCTTACAAAAGAAACAAAACAGATGAAAAGACACCATTGTTGTCGTATTCTTGTCGTCTAAGAGTACTATCATTCAAATGAGTGTGCCTAGTGCATACAAATATGTATGTAGGCCTATGTCATACACAGACGGAAAGTTAAATATAAAACGGCCAGATTATTATTTGCCTACGCTTCCGCATCCTGCAACAACCACACTAACAACTGAACTGTATTGGCGCGCCATACTTTCTATTGTTTAAAATCTGGCGGCCGAAATGATCTGAGACAGGTGTAGTTAGCATACCTAGGGTCTATCCTCTCTCTCTCGAATCCGGGTCGATTTGGATAGTGCTTTAAAACAGATAGGGTCAAGCCAGCTTACCAATCAATACATTGAATTTACGTAAACACTTCGGGACAATGTTTACGGGTTTCTTTTGAATGTCAGTAGTTCGGATAAGCCTTACATGTATCCACCTTGATTCAAGACAACACCTCATGCCCAACTAGGCTACTGTATAATATTTCTGTACTTTCACTGAAGATCCAGTAGGTGAAGAGGGACCTCACTGGGAAGGGCTCCCGGTCCTTTTTGTCACTAATTGTTTTAAAATTTCAATGCAATAATATATGAGTTATTCGCATATTCAATTATCCGTCCGGAAACTGATGTGCGTTCCCCCCTCCCCCCACCCGTCTGAAACATTCTGGATCCACCCTTGATCACACTGCACAATAATTCCTCACAAGGACTACAGTGTGCAGCAAAGACACTCAAACCATTAACTACAAAGATGCCCTTCAGAAAAATAATGACATAAAATGGTAATCAACATCGACAACGATGTACATGATCACCACCATTCCCGACTCATTCAACACTGTGCGGAGCACGGGTATATGCTAGTTTATCCTAATAATGCAAGACTGTTGCATTTATATCATTACGGTAGGCTGCAGCTTCGTATTCTTTTTCTCTAAATGTATCTTACAGGAGTCTTGTAGATTGTTTAAACTCGCAACTGCATTTTGCGTGCATGATCACAGTTAATGTTGTCTGCTTCATCGCTCAATACTAATGGCTCCCTGGGAGATATGGCAGGATGAGCTTTTTAGATTGCTGAATGAGCGCTCACAACTAGCGATTGAACTAGAAATTGCAAATTGCAAGTGAAGTGCTGCATATAAATGTTCTTCGAACAAAATTATTTATGCGAGTCAAGTGAAAATAATGAATAATAAAAATATAACAAATAATATGAGACAGGACCCATTGTCTATAATGGGCCCAAAGTCGTAATTTTTCATTTTTGTCAAAAGTGTCTATAGTGGTGAATTATGGTTTAGGTTTTTTTAATAAAGTTTCTAAAATTTCTATGTATGTGGAAAATGTAGTTGATTACTACAGGTTACAATTTTTATTTTGAAGACTGCATGATCTAGAAAGTGTACATTTTTTTATGGGGCAAGTTTCCAAGGGCGGGTTTTCTAGGGGCGAGTCGACTGCCAAAGAGTGTTGCCAAAGTGCAAGCCAGTGTGTTATTTGATCACAAGTGCGAGACATCACAAGTGTGAGCCAGCGAGCCATGACGTCACGACAATAAATACGAGACGTTGAACGTGGTATCGGCTGAGATTTGTGGAGTACAATTCAAAAAACAGCTATAGGTCTAATAATGAATTATTGTGATGTTAAAAATAGACAATGTTAACTATCAAGGCGCGACGTTGTTTTTTATTGGGACCTTCGTCCCTTCAAGGCTAGGCCTATCCTAGCTAGTCTAGGCCTATACCATCCTAGCAAGTCTAGGCCTAGAGTAGGATAAGCTAGCGCGACATGTAGTCCGGTGGCTTATGTCATCCCGTGGGAATTTCGTGATCATTTTTTTTTTTTTTTTTAATTATATGCTTTGAAGTATGCTGAATCGAATAAAATGAGTCGCCAATTCTTTTACGCTCATCTTCATATGCAAATTAGCTGAAATATGCAAATTAGGTCTGAAAATGTAGGGT